AAAAATAGAAATACCATTTGACCCAGGAATTCCACTCCTAGGAATTTATCCTGAGAAAAGAGGATCACAGATTCAAAAAGACATATGCACCCCTATGTTTATGGTAGCACTATTTACTATAGCCAAGATATGGAAGCAACCTAAGTGTCCATCAGTAGATGAATGGATAAAGAAGATGTGGTGGATATACACAATGGAATTTTATTTAGCCATAAGAAGAAAACTAATCCTACCATTTGCAAGAAGATGGATGGAACTAGAGGGTATTATGCTCTCAAATAAGCCAGGTGGAAAGACAAGTACCAAATGATTTCACTCATCTGTGGAGTACAACAAAGTGAAAACTGAAGGAACAAAATAGCAGCAGACTCACAGAATCCAAAAATGGACTAACAGTTATGAAAGGGAAAGGGACTGGGGAAGGTGGCTAGGAAGGGAGATATAAGGGGATTAAAGGGCATTACAATTAGCACACATAATGTAGGGGGGTGCATGGACAATGACTATAATGGGGTATGTGGTGGGGACTTGATAATAGGGGGAATGTAGTAACCACAATGCTGCTCATGTGAAACCTAAACACGATTGTATATTAATGATACTTAAAAAAAAAAAAGTAAAAGACTGCCCTGTGAAATGATGTGTATATAAATTACTTTTTAAAAGTCCAGAGGATAAAAGCATGTGAGATAGATGAAGCATGAACAGCAGAAAGTTGAAGGCTGCTGAAGCTGGGTAGGGTACATGGGGGCTAAATGTACTATTCTTTCAACATCCTTATATATATGAAAATGTCTACAATGAAATGTTAAAGAGAAAGAAGAGTGCCCTGCATCCAAACCTCCAGCACTCAATCCAAGTCATCCTCCTAACACAGTCATAGAAGCTTTCTTCATGCTCAATAAGCAGCAAATTCTGCTTGAAAATGCTTAAGACATCTGCAAATGCCAGTGGGCATCATGCAGCCTTGACCCTACTTCTGCTTGTGTCCTTCAACAAAATGGCTTACATATAACATATTTGCTGAGAGTTCTCTTCTTTGAGAGGCACTACTACTGTTTAATAAGAAAACAGTTCTGCCATATTCCTAACTGGGAGTTGTACAGATTTTTTTTAAAAAGAGAAATGTGCAAAGTGAGGAATTAGGGAAAGAAGAAACATGAAGCTCTGAATATCTTGAACTCTCTCTTTATGACCTGGTATACATTACTCAACCTGGGGGATAACCCTTTGCCACCTGGAAATAAAGGACATGACTACCACTCAGCCAGACAGGAATGGGTTAAAAACATAGTTCCACTTCTGACAAGCTATTATGATCTTAGGTCAGAATCTTCATCTCTCAGATCTCACCTCTCCTCTGTAAAGTCCAGTGACAACTGCATTGTCATAAAAGAAGGAATGCGAATGTACAATACTGCCTACAACAATACCAGGCACATAGTATGTGTCCCTCTCCCTCCCCTTTTAATCAAAAGGCTGATTTATTCCTCCATACTCAAGAATGTAGTCCTTGAAAGCAAAGGACCTTCAGGTGACTTCCTAATAGCATAAGTTATAAAAATAACCTGAGTGAAAACTAAGGGCACCTATGGCCTCAGTGAGATGAGATGGGTAAAGTCTCATTGGGGAAACTTAAGGTTTTCAGAGATTCTTATGTCAGGTAGTATTTCACAGCTTTAAATGGACAATCTCTACAATGCTGGATTTGCACAAAGCACGAAGAGAAAAAATATGTAACATTTTCTACACATCCAAAAATTTGAAAAGTGAATGTCTGTTTTCAAACATATTACATAAGGATGTAGCTATATAATTAAAACAAAGCTATCCTGTCCATTCTCCTTTCATATTAAATTTTATGTAGCTAAATATATTTCCTAAATTATCTTCCTTGATTCTTTACACACCAACTAGATGATGGCCCACATTAGGCTAGAGAAGAAGAAAAGTATAGCATGGGACATTTTATTTTCATTCAATATTCAGCAAGATTGGCAAATACAGATATAAGACATTTATTAAAGCAGAGACTCAGTACTTAACAGAGCAAAACACTTTCAATGAGTGGGATGAGCTCCATTCTGGAGAACATTCTGTTTTCCCAAACAACATGCCAAGAGTCAAAACAGGTCTAAAACTGAAATAAGGGCTTGATAGGAACATTTGGAGCCAACTCTATCAAACCCCTAGAGTAGCGATTTGAAGCACTGAAAGTTTCATAATTGCCAGGGTGCTTCATTAAAAATCTTTACAAAGATTCCTAGATCATATTCCCAGAGACTCTTGTTTAGTAAATGTGTGGTGGAGTCCAGAAATCTACACTTAAGCAGGCTTCACAAGTGATTCCCTTTTAATTGAGCTGAGGACTACACTTTAAGAAATACTGACTTTCACACATACTGCCTTGTATGAAATCAATACAAATTATGTTAAGAAACATTAACAAGAAATTTGTCAGTTCAACAATGGCCAAATTAGGCCATTCCAACATAAGAAAGACACAAATTACTTACACAGGTCTACTATTCACGTGAGTTAAAGAAAGAAGAATAGAAAAAATAATCTCTCTCTTATACCTTATATTCTCAACCATCCAAATTTTGGATTCACTCTACATAAATAAGCAGAAGACAAAAACATTTTTTATCATACTGGGTAAGTATTACAAACTATGGCAAAGATATGAGCTGTCCTCTGTATTTGGAGAACAAGGGAACTTACTTGTGGAGAACACAAAGCTTATTTATCTACCAAGAAGTTTGGATATTTTGTCAAGATTCTACTTAATAGCTAGCAATCTGAACATCCTCATTTTACAGAAAAGAAATGAAAACTGAGAAGTTTGTTGAATTGCTGAAGGTCACACAGTGACCGGGCAACTAATCTTAGTGATTTGGCCTAATCTTAGGCCTATTAACCACATTAAGTTGCTATAGATAATGGTATCAAGATTTGTGGGCTCTGACAGGCATATCTGTGTTGGAAGTTTCAGTGTACTGACCATAATCATTGGCTAGGCTAATGTCTTTAAACACTAATACTTGAACATACAAAATTATACTTGAATAAAATTCAAACTTTTGTGGGATTTTCTTTAAAATGTGATTGCAGTTGATGGGGCTAGTACACACTTAGATGTTGGCACTAGGTTTTCAAGACAATTAGAATTCCATAAATGTTTAAATGTATTTTATACTAAATTCTGATGACCAATGGGGAAACATATCAATAAATGTACCAACTGCACTTGAGTTCTTAACTGGGTGATTGCAAGACACAAACGAGTCTAAAATGATTTCATAATAGATTACTATACTTGTTAAATTATAGAAAATTGTTTCCATGGAACAACCCCAACCTATTTATTTCTCTTACAACTTGCACTATGCCTGGCATACACTTGGTGTTCAACAAATGTTTTCTGTTGAATGCATAAATGGAAGATAGTGTGTTTGGAGTACTATATGTGCAAAGAAACAATATATATTCCATATGGGTATTATCAGAAGCCCTTATGAAGCACTTGGATTCTCTTGGCTTTGGCAAAGGCAGAGAACTATTGCAGAGGTTGATGGTCCTTCTCATTGACAAGATGCAGGCCTGTTGGTCAGAATCATGTATTAATACACAGAAAACAATGCCATTATGTTAAAGAACAAGGAGAAGCTGAGTTTTAAAATCCTGTCTCCCATATAGTAAAATTCTGCCAAGACTTAATTCTATTAAAAAAAAATTTTTGTATTGTCTATTTCAGCCTTTTGGTATGCAGAACACTGGTACATGGTTCCCTGATCTTTGGCAATTTTCTAAGGCAAGAAAATTTACTACTTTTGGTCATGTGAGTGACAAAATAACTATCTCAGCTAGACATAAAATTTACAGGCTAAGTTCAATAGCTGACTTGTTTGCATTCTTATTCAAACCCAATTAATTTAGAGAGATGAATATTCCCTCACAAAAAAAATGCACAGAAAGTACAAAAGAAATTCAAGTGACCTATCAGAATCATTACCAATGCAATTACTGCCTTGTGTGAAATCATGAATATTATAATTGGAAAAGTTTCAACTGTACATGAATTTGCCAAGAAATTTTAAGATGTCATCAGTGGAAGTTTTTCTAAGTGTTCTTCACAAATTTTATTTTTGACAACTTCCATCCCTGTATTTATGGCAGATACAAATCGAAAACTAATTTTAAGACATTTAAGGAATATTCTAGGCAGCCCTCTCCAACAGAACTTTCTGTGATGATGAAAATGTTCTGTATTTGAGCTGTCTAATAAGGTAGTTACATTTGGGGCTACTCAACACTTGAAATTTGGCTAGTGCTTCTCAGAAATTGAATTTTAAATTTTATTTAATTTAACTGAATTTAAAATTAAATTTAAATAGCTACAGGAGGTTAGCAGCTCCTGAACAGAACAGCACAGCTCTAGGATATCACACTAATCACAAGCACCATTGACCATAATGTTTAAGCAACTGCAAAGAGATGGAAGTTTTAAAAACAAATGATATGGGGACTGCTAAATCACAAAAAAACTTCTAGTGTTAAAAATCTTAATATCAATTCTTAGAGAATCTTATCTTTATCATATTAAATGTTTTACACAGCTTTGGAAGTTTTAAAAACAAATGATATGGGGACTGCTAAATCACAAAAAAACTTCTAGTGTTAAAAATCTTAATATCAATTCTTAGAGAATCTTATCTTTATCATATTAAATGTTTTACACAGCTTTTATTTTAGAACTTTTTTACCAACAAAATGTTATATTATTAATAATATATATATTTTGCTATATATAGCAAAATAACCTCTTTGTGTGCTACATGGAAGAATGAAATGGACTTTATATCAAGGTCTATATCCCCTCCTTTTTTTTTTAGTTAAACCACTGACCAGGTTGCAACATCTTAAAAAATGACAGGAACAACAGGTTTAAGAGATAAGAAGGGTTATTTTGTAAAGAGATTATGGGGACATAAACCTACCATGACCATTTTCCTCTGTTCATACAACTTCTGTAACTGGTAGGATTTTTCCTCTGCTTTGATGTAACCTTTTTTCACATCATCAACAGCCTGTCACCAAAACAAAGGCAGGGAAGAAAGAAATGTAAAAATCATTATTATCAAACACAGTTGTGGTAAAAATAAAAGAGACACTGATTCATTTGCAGAATAACTCTTGTCCATCTGGACCATCATCATCATCACCAGTTAATTGCCACATGGGTATATTTATTGGAATGAGAAGCATCTAAAGAGCATCTGACATGTGCTCAAGGATTGTTACAGGCACATGAGGGATCTGGTTTTTCATGCTAAGAGATTTAAATTCTGGTTAATTCATAGACGAAAGAATCAGAGAACACTGAAAGACAGCATATAATACTGTATTAAAAGTAACAACAAAGTAACAAAAATGTGTGGTATAGATACTGATATATGCAATCAGAACAGGAGAGCTTACTGCTAATTGTCACCAGGGAAGCCTTGGTCAGACCCCAAAGGATAGGATGAACAGAAGAAACTATTTGCTAAGTCAGAAAATAAGAATGGGTTTAAACTTAAATACATTCAGGAGACAGACTTGCCTGATTTGGATAAAGGATCCATGGTAGGGGACAATGAATGATAATGCTGCATGGGCAGGTTAACAGATTATGAAGGACCCTAAAAGGTAGGCACAAGAATTTAGACTTAAGGAGAGAAGGAACATAAAATAAGCAATAAAAAATTTTGTCTAAAGAAAAATTGGCTTGTATATGAGTGCCAAATGCATTAAAGCTAAGGAGAGAATAAACTAAGGGAGACCAATGATGTTGTAGTACTGTTAAGCATGAAGTGAAACAAGACTTTAAACTATAGTAGTAGCAACTGGAAGACAGAAAGTGATAAATCTGAGACCATGAGTGGAAAAAAATCCCTGATGGAACTTGATACAGACATGAAGGTACCTGATATAATATGCCAATTCTAAACTCTTCCTGGTTTAGCTATATGAAATATGCATACCCACCCCCTCTTCTCAACTTCATTCCGCCCCTCCTCCACTCCAAGAAAAACTTTAAAAACCTAATAGTAAGGGAAACTGATCTTTGGGAGAAAAAAAGAAAAAGAGCAAACAGAATCATCTGTCCAGGGCATTCAGAATCTTAACCTCAGTGAATCGCTACAAGGACAATTCTATGTAGACACAAGCAAGTTCACTTAAAACTTTATCAGAAGACTGCTGATTTCCCTAAGGTAGAAATCATTCCCCATAGTCTTTTAAGGGAAGATATGTGCATAACAGAATGAGTTCAGGATTGAAGTCAAAAGACTTACTCAACTTCTAGCTCTGTCACCTACCAATGTGCACTTGAGTATGGGTATGGGACTATAGTAGGAACGGGGAAGGAAATAGAGCTAGACTCTCATCTTCTATAGTGGGAAATAAAAAGATATTTCTTGAACCTGAGAAATCAAGTAGAAGCAATATAGCCAAGTTATAAAAAAGAGACATGGAAGTAAATATAAAACAAAACAACAACAAAAAACAAAGCTAAAAGAGGTTCAAGTGGTTGCCTGTAGAGGGAGATGAAGCTAAGTGGGGGCAACTAATATTTTTCAATAACCTGTAGAGAACTATCTGATGCCTTAAACTCTATGTATATATGATTTTGATGAAAAATTTTTGAAATGGTACATAGCCATAATGCTCATTTTCTGTTGTTTAAAAAAATACTAATAAATACATTTTAAACTCTAGGAGATCTTTACTTTTTAAACATACTTATCTTTTGTGAATGGGATAGAACATTTTAAGAATTTAACCAAGATCCATGATGCAAAGTAGCTTACCCAAGGATTCTCACTGGATTGGCAAATTACCCACCACATACAAACAGAAAAAGAAATCAGACCTTTCTAGGAAGATCAACTCAATCACCTGATGAAAGAAGTAGGTAACAGCAAGATCATTGTCATTTAAGAAGATTTCTTCTTCTGTGGTAAAAAGCCACTTTCGAATAGTCAGGCAGGTGCCTGGCACAGCTGATGTGTAATTCTGGACGTACAGTTTATGAGGAAATTCATTAGGTGCCAGCTTACGTACTGAAGAGAAGACAAAACAAAGAAAGCTAGAGTGAAAAGATACATAAGGATTCTTCCTAGTATAAACTGTGTGTAGGGAAGATCCAGCATGGCAGGTTTACATTAACCAGGACATCAGCTTAGATCCATCACGGGGCTCTGCCTTGGGACCACAAAGTAACTGTTTGGCTGAATCTACCCCTGCTAACCTCGACTATGGCCAGTCGAGCCTCAAACAGACTGAAATCTATCACCTGAGTTAACACCCTACAGTTAACCTGCTGACTCTGCAGAAAGCACCTACTCCAAAGTCAATTAAAATACGTGACCCATTTTCTGGTAAGTTACAGTGACATCCACAGAACATCCTTAAAGCAAGCCTATCCTCTAACCCAGCTATGGTGCATTCAGAGTCCTGCATGTGGCAATTCTCAAAGAACTGCTTTTATTAAGTGCTGAAAGACTCCCCATCTGCAACTCTAATACATTAAAGTGAAAAGTATCTTCAAGGTAATGTTACTTCCTCTCCCTAACAATGCACAATAAGGATAAAACACTACTAATTTCTACTAACTACTATTACTAATACCACTCCTAATTTCTATATTGCTTTCCCTTTGGAAAGGCTCAGAGTTTTCTTCTCTTGGCCTTATAACACTGCAGAAGACGGATTTAACATTTCTCATTTTATGTATTAACTAAAGCTTAAAAAAGAAGGATAAGATTAGAATCCAAGGGTCCTGGTTCCCCAGCAATCCTTTCTAACACTTATGTCTGCCAAGTTAGACTATAGGGAGTTGGGAAGATAAAGAGTAACAGGGAGATGGCTGCTTCAGGGGGATTATCAAAGTTGTTCTACCATGACCTGGGATAGCAAGTGACCCAAATCTATAACTCTCACTCTTCCTGGGATGAAGGTCTGATCAATCAGTATTTTCTATCATTTCTTGCATTAGCTCTGTATATACATGATACGGAAAAGACACACAAACTGTGGGAAATCTGTCATTCAGAGCAAGCCCTCAGACTTCCTCTCCTTTGTGGTCTCAGTACAACTAATGTGACCACCAGTCCTAACTTTTATAAAATAACATATATGAGAAACTTCCTGTCACCATGAAATAAAGTTTATTAAGAAGAGGATATTTATTTACATAGAAACTTAAATATATGCATTAAAGCAATGGCTTTTAAGCAATGTATCTCCAACTCCTGAACACAAAAGCTATTCTTAGAAATGTACAAAAAGCATAAAGTACACTAAAACAAATTGTGGCTAAAGAGAAAATTCCCTCTTTTTAAGGCTGTTTCATTGGAATACATAAATTCTGAACCTCTGATTTGAAAGAACCTCATGAATTATCTGCTTCAGCACTGGTGTAACTTATACTTACAAAAGAGGAAAAAGGATCAACAGTGATCAGACACCCTTTTGACTTGGGATTAATGGAGTCTGCCTGGTCTGCTTATTGAAGAAAGTCCTAGTGAGTGGGATTTCCCCTTGTCTTTAAGACATTCTTCTCTGGGCAGTTTCATCTGACAGCTTCTGGATTCTTTAGTCTGACAGTATTAGAATAAAATGCCCCTAAACAAAACTTAATATTAGCTACTGGCACTTACCAAAGGAATGATTGATCACTTCAAATAAGGCAAAGTAATTCACTGTTGTGCTGTCCATGCCAACTTTTGCTGCAATAGCCTAAAGTGTAACCAGAATAGATTAGTTCTAGGGAAACTAAATCAGACAATGCTGTGGGAAAAGACAGGTGTAAGCATGTGGAGAGGAGAAAGGGAGGAATTTTGCCATCTTGGTTTCATGTAAACTAAATACATGGTCCACAGCCATCCTTCTTTGTGTGTCTGTGTACATGCACACGTGCACCCATGACATAAATGGGAAAAATATCTGTATTTGACCCAAACAGTTATGATCTCTAAATGTGAGTTTCTCCCCTCCAATTTAATAGTCTCTCCTTAAATATCAGCTTTCCTACAGTACAAAATATACTATGTTAGATGGTGATAAGTTTTTTGGATAAATACAAGGCAGGAAAGAGGAATTGGAAACACAGGTGTATGTGTGTGCAATTTTAAATAGGGTGGTGAGGGAAGGCCCACTGAGATGACATTTAAATCAAGACCTGAAGGAGGTAAGGAAGTATGTCACATGGACATCTGGCCGATTCTGTGGTGCACTAAAGAACTAGTCAGAGCCAAGTAACGACTCTACAGCTTCTTACTACACTGATAAACAGTGACTGCAATGGGATGGGATGGGGGGACTTGTTAATATGGGTGAATGTTGAAACCACAATGGTGTTCATGTGAAACCTTCCAAAGATTGTATATCAATGATACCTTAATTTAAAAAATCAGCTTTCCTCTATGAACTATGACTTCAGCCCACGAGGGTCTTTTTTAACAGCACTTACAAGAAATACACTCGATAAGAAGGACAGATCTGAAGAAGAAAAATTCTTAAATATCCAGTCTCACACATTTGGCCTACATTTAATATAGGCTCCTGACACAAGATGTCTTTGGTTCTTAAGTTTAGAATACTGTTTGCCAACTTTGTTCATGCTTCCCAAATTACTTTTATTTTTCAGATGATCCATGTCTCAGGCTGGGGGCCACCATTTCCTAAGAATTACCATCATCAGTATCCACATGAAACAGCAAAATGTTGGCATAGCAGAGGCACATTAAACAAGTATTAGTCCTTTTCTCTAGGAACTAAAGTTATAATATGACAAAAAGACATTGAAAGACTGCATGTGCAAATATATGAAAATCAAGGTTATATACAAGTAATAAAATACAAAGCAAAAAACAAACTAGTAGTAACATTTCAAGATCAACCCCAATATGAATAAGGCATTAAAGAAGATAAAATTATTGAGTATTAGTGTCATAGAGTAAACCAAATATGATTCTATCCTTCTTCCTAGATCTGCTCACATATCAGACCTAGGTTCCTCTTTGGTATGAGGTAAACACTGGAGATATAAGTTTTCTAGTTACCATTCTATACTGCACTGGAGAGAAAGTTAAACGCTCTCAAGGTCTGGAGAAGTTTGACTTCTCCAAACAGGGTAAGATGAGAAAGGGGGGAAAATTAGGCCTTGCTAGAGAAATATTGGGAAAAACAAAGAAAACATCAGTAAGTTGCAAAATTAACATTTTCCTTGCATCCACTCCACCATTTTATAATTTCAAAAATACCTCAAATCCTGCATATATCCTTTCCATGGTATAGAGTATATGAGTAAATGCATGGGGAATAGATTTTTGTTTGCTACAAAGGAGAAACAAATGTTAATATTCACAAAACTGCTGGTCTCCCTGAAAAAATCAAATCAGGATTAAAGACCAGTGAAAAGGCTTAAAAGCAACAATTATACCCAGAACCCAGATCATAATCTTAAAATCTTAAATACAATTTCTCACTGAAAGGGACCAGGACCCCTTGGGGAAAATGGCTGATTATAGCTCTAGGGTAGGAAATATACATAGACAGAGGTGAGAACATCTTGCTTCAAAAAGCAAGGATGCTATCATAAACAAATGCGCAGCATCAAAAGAATACAGGAGCAGTATAGCATGGAGAATATAGTCAATGATTCTGTAACATTTTTCTATGTTGACAGCTAGTAACCTCACTAGAGGGGGTGAGGATTTAATAATACAGGTAACTGTTGAACCACTGTGTTGTATATTTGAAACCAATATAAGATTTTATGTCAACAATACTTCAATAAAAATTAAAAAAATAAAAATACTTCCCTGTGACCCCAGAGGGAAAAAAAAAAGAATGTAAGAACAGACATGAAGGAGCTTCCACTGGCTAAAGATGGAATAATTTGAGCATCAAAAAAAATCCATGCTATTGATTAAATCACATTGAATATCTAAAAACTCACGTGATACTAAAAACAACCAAATCAAACCAAATAATTATCTCATTGGACATTATTTGAATTAAGTAGGGCACCAATTCCTTATTCTGAAAATTGGCAATAAAAGGAAAGAAATGTTTATCCCCCTCCCTTTGGTACAAACTGTCATTCAGAATAACTAAATAGCCGTAGTTGATAAGGAAAAGTTCTTTACAGAAGAATTCTAGCTAATAAACGTGAAGAAATGAAAGAATTAGAAAATCAGCACTTTGCAACCCTTAATGAAATCACTGGTTAAGGCAGCAATCATCAGTGCTAGACTCATCTGATTAAAGATCAATGGGGGACTTTAAAACAGAGAGCTTAGGTTATCACCACCTAAACCTACTGACTGACCTTAGTATCACTAAAAGTGGGATTAACCAGATATTATATGCCTCCTGTTAGAAAGCAATGTGAAATATATAGCACCAATTATCAAGTATTCCTATCAAAAAGGCTGAACCTAAATCTAATCAAGGCTTTAGAGCAAGTCTCCATTTATAGAAAATTTAAGGAGATAGGAGGACATTGTTAAATGACACAAAGAAAAAAACAAACAGATAAATGAAGAATGTGGGATGTTCCATAAGGCACAGACCCAACTTCTGTAATAGTAACATGGAAAAAAAAGCTAGGGAATGGAAGAGACAACTTTATATTTTTTTAAAAAATGTAAAAACCAAACGTGATGTGAGTACTTGTTTAAATCCAGATTTTAACAAGCCACCTTATAAAAAAAATCATATTTAGACAACTGTGAAAATTTGACTATGGGTTTTGTTATTAGTTAACACCAAGGAAGTATTGTTAATTTTTTAGGTTTGACAATGGTTTTGTGGTTATCTAAGAAGAATGTCCGTATTTTTTAGAGATGTATACTGAAATATACACAAATCCATAACATGGAATTTGCTTTAAAATATTTAAACAAAGAAAAATGAAAACAGGAACATAACAGAACATGGCAAAATCTTGATTATTAAATATGAGTGATAAATAATTGGGGGTTCATTGTACTTTTCTGTTTTCATATATGTTATAAAGTTTTTACAATTAAAAAGAAAGGGTGCTAATCACAACCACTACAACCTGGAATATTTATCATACCTTTCTTTAAAGGAGGGCAAAGTACTTTCACATTAATAATAGCATCAACAATAGTAGCAAATATTTAATAAACTTATTATATGCCAGATACTCCAAGCACTTTATATATATTAACTTATTTAATCTGTTTTCCTTAGTTTTATACTATTCAATGTCAAATCTACTTATTCAAGTTTAATTTACCTGATATACTTGATCTGTAGTACTGTTCTTTTTAACCCTGACTGTGACTGTTGTTCCATCTGGTAATGCTACTCTCAGCTCTACGTCGGACACACCATTGTAGTTCTGGGGGAAAAAGGCACAAGAAAGAATTTATGGCCCGGTATATCTTTACTCTCTGTGAAACATGCTAGCTGAATAACAACCTAAATATATGAAAGAGAAAAAGTGAGTTCCAATGAGAAAGAGAAAAAGACACTTTATAATCAATACATTTTATTTAGTCATAAAGCTGACTTTAGGCTACAACAGAAATTAACCTTTAGGATGAACAGGGAGGAAAGAAACATGTTGTAGCCAATATGTGCACATTTCAAAACAAAAAACTTGTGTGAAACAGTCTAGGTCAAACACATATGAGATTTTTGGCTGACTTCTAAACATTCAAAACTCACAAATTAGAAAAGAAAACAACTGAAAGCAGTAGTTTCAACAAATACTCTGTGGTTTTAAATGGTTAAGTATGCTAGACTGGCTTAAGTAGTATTCAAAGTTCCTAATCATGATACCTTTAAAAGGAAAAATGGATCAAACTCAGAAATCTGAGTTAGTCTGATGTCCAATTTTCTTCTAGTAAAGAGTAAACAATTCTCATCCTCCTTAATTCAAAAGAAATCCTTCTTTCTTACTCCTTTTGATGATGAACACATTCTTCTAACAGATTTTTTACCTTTTAATCTGTTAGAAATAACTATGTAGAACAAATCTATCTTCATTTACCACTTTTTTAAAAAGTACTATTCATTGTCTAAAATCATCCTAAGCCTATTACATTATAAGTCCTTGTCTGCAAGAAACTTATAATCTAGTTGAAAAAATAAGACATAAAATAGAGGATAACACATTATTTAATATAGTAGCATTACATAATCATTCTTCTACTCAACCCTATTTATTAAGCACCTACAATATTCTTAACGTGATAAGGCACTGGGACTATAAAAATAATCAAGATTTAGCTCTTGTTCTGGAAATCTAATGGACAGCATGGTGACCACAGTTAACGATTTTGTATTATACACTTGAAATTTATTAAGAGGGTAGATCTTAACTGTTCTTACCACAAAAACAAAGGAAGAAAGGAAAAAGAAAGGAAGGAAGGAAGGAAATGGTAACTACGTAAGGTAATGGATATGTTCATTAGCTTGATTGGATTGTGGTGATTTTTCACAATGTAAACATGTATTAAAACATCAAGTTATACATCTCAAATATATACAATTCCTATTTATCATTATACTTCAATAGAGCTGGAAAAAAAGAAGATTCAGCTCTTACAGGTAGCTCACACTCTAGTAAGCTAAAAATATAAATTGATAATCTAATTATATGAATAAAAAATACAGTATGACAGCAACAAGGTGATAATTAAGTAATACTGACTGTAATAGTTCTTAGTGGAATGACAAATTGATGAGTATCAGAGAAGGCTTCAAAGACAAGGCAGACCTAGCACTAAGGCTTTAAGGATAAGGATACATAAGAAAAGGATGTTAAAAAAAGTCTTGGAGAATTTATGGCAATTGAATCCATAACTGACATCTTTAATTATTTTCCTCTACAAGGCAAACAGTCTCTATAGGGTGTATGCACCTACCTCATCTGATTCTGATAGGAATTCCTGCATAATGTCACTCTCACCAATGACTCGTATTGAGCACACTGTAGAAAACAAAGATAGAGGCTGGCATGAGGCCCTAAAATCAAGAATATAAAGTCAAGAACGTAACAAGATTTAAGAGGAAATCATCAGTAGCAGGCAATGCTGAGGTAATATGCCATCCCTGAAGTATGAGATTTTAAGGCACAACAAATGTTTTTATAAACATGAACTAGAACAGAGGAATAATAGGATGTACAAAGACGCAGCTTGCTAAAAACATTAAATATAGCCAATGGAAGTCATCTAACTTATTTTATAAATATGAACTAGAACAGAGGAATAATAGGATGTACAAAGATGCAGCTTGCTAAAAACATTAAATATAGCCAATGGAAGTAAATCTAACTTTGCAGTCTTGTGTGAGCTACTGACAAGATAGACAACAGAGCAGGAATAAGGTCAATTAGGAATAAATGAAATACAAAATTGAAACACAAAAGGAAAAATATCTATTTGGCTTAGGAATAGCCCAGTCAGAGAACATAAGCCTTTAAAGACACTTTGAAAAAAATGGGTAGTATTAAGTATTAAGCTGAGCACATCTTCCCACCTTACCTTCAACAGTAACAACCAAAAAAAAAAAGAGAAGAAAGTAGGCAGGTAAGTAGGTAGCTAATGGTCTAAATCCAAGAAAGTTAATTTTCTGATACTCTCATGAGGATGATTAAGTTACACTGATGATCTCACTTCATTTTATTAAAAAAATCATACCCTCTCTCATTTCCCAAGGGGTATGTTTAGAGGCCATCCATGTTATTAAGAAAAAAAAAAAAGCTAAAAACGGATGAGGAAGTTTCACTACTTTCTACAAGGGAAAATGGTTTTTCTTCAGGGATAAGGCTCTCCATCAAAGTTTTAAAAAATTTCCACTGGGTCACTTAGTTCTTATATAAAGACACAAGGACACAGAATTACCAAATACCATGTAAGACCACTATTCTATGAAATTAATATTTTAAAGAAAAGCCTACTGCACTGCTAGCCAATTATGCAACTCTATAATGAAGCAAAGCAAGAGCCACAAAACGAACTATCTCATTCAGGAGATCTGTGTAATTCCCCCATGCCTTTCTAGATAAACACATATTTCAGCATCCACGCCCACAAACTCTTAATGTATTATTTGGGAGTCCTGAGATAACAAGTAAGTTTCAATACTTCTACCTATAAGCTGCTTAAAACAAAGGGACTTTTTACTACCTACAACTCAGCAAACCTATCCATGGACACCTGTAAGAGGAATAATGAGTTTTCAAGTAGGATATGCCAGTGAACCAAGAATCATTTAAAAAATATATCTTAAATAATTCCCACTTAGTTCCCAAATCATTTCAACATGTTGATGAGTCTGTCCATATCCACATGTATTTGTTGGCAAATAACATAACCCTATGTATAAAGATCCTTAAAGCATCAACAACTCATTTTTCTGTTGTTAAGTGCTCAGCTAGTCAATAAAATTAACTATTAATCCTTGAACCAAACATTTCAGTCTTGGCTTCAAAGCTCAGATCATTCAACATTTAAGGTCAGAAACTTGACTTACTTTCACTATTGAGTTTTAGGAAACTTAGCTATTCAGTTTAGGTATTATGATATATACCTAAGACTTCATTTCATGTCTGCTCAAGATAGGCCAGCTTACCTTTTTCTAGATATTCTTCCAACCCCCGACGTCGGGCATCTAATTGCTGCTCTGATAAAGAAAATGGCCACTTCCCTGGAAGTCGGGGAAATGTAAAGTTGGCAAACTCTTTCTTCAGGTTCTGGTGTAGGACAGCAAACTCGCGGTACCGCTTAGAACACAGCTGCCTCCCTGCCATGTAAACATTGTATACCTGGTGAGGGGAAGAATTTTAAAAAAGCCTTCTTACTACAAATTAAGTCACAAAATCATTAGGCTCAGATTGGTATGTACTCAACAGAGAATCAGAGAATCAAGATTATTGTAAAATAAGACTTACTTTTAATAACCATGCCAGAAATTATATGTATAAAAGGGCACTCCCTTCAAGGGGCCATGGTCTTGTTTTTGCTATCAAAATTGCCTTCAACACAGTTTAAAGTATCTTTAAAGGCAATTATCAGCTTTAAAGGGTGGATTTTAATTTTAGAAATTCAAAACTCCTCTCCCACAACTCTCCTCCTATGATCCTTACCCCAATTAAAAGCAAAACGTCTAATCACTACCAAACAGCCTCCAGGAATGTGTATGATCTTGGTCAATGAGCTTTGCTCCTGTGATTATCGCTCAAATTTGTAACTGATGATAATGAATCACACATATTACCAAGTATTCCCATCACTGCCTTCTGAAGTACAAAAGCATAAAAAAGAAAACGGCCTTCCCCTCAGACAAGACCACATATTTTCTTAAGGGCAGGCAATTTCAAGTCTTATCCATTTAAATGGTCTTGTATATTTTCTTCTCAAACTAAACTTTCCAAATTTCTCAATTAACATCACCAATCCTTTGCTTAAAAGGCAAGTTCATACACTATTAATGTTATAAATCAGCCTGAGTTCCTCCCACAAGAAGGGAGGGAGTTAAAACTAGCTAGTGGCATTGCTGATTCAAAGATACACACCCTGTCTGTTACCTTGTGCAAAGAGTACAGCAGGTCTTTGACAATGCACAGGAAGACTGTGACTCCATCTCCTCAATGGCGGTCACTTGAGTGATCTCAAGTCCAGTAAAACATTGCCCAGGGTAGAAAAAAATCCTACAACTTGAGAGGCCTTTGTGACAATTTTAACAAGAGACCCTAACAGTGGATTCAATTTTAGTTTCTTCATAAGGTGGTAAGAGTAACATCAAGCCTCTCACTTACCTCTTCCCCCATAATGTGAAAATAAAGGGAACAGAAATATAAATAGGATGACTGACAGTTCAGTAATACTTTCACAAAGGTAATAATGGCTTCCAAAAGAGCCAAACCATTTTAAAATTAACTGTGTTTGACTACTGAGAAATGTACCAAGAGAGACCACAACAGAGACTTTTTTGTTCTTCACTTTTTCTTAAAATTAACCAAGATCCATTAGTATTCATTTCCCTCGTGTGGACACAATCATTTGCAAAAAAATTGACTGACTGTCTTAATTCCTGGTGAGGTCTTCTGCCTAAACCTCATGAATGTCCATGGTCCATGAGAAATGACCAGGTCTCATTACAAATGAGAATATCCATCAGAAAGTATTTTCTGGACTTGAAGGGGAACATAATCAAATAGGAACTAAAGATACACACAGGAAGCAGTGCTTCTGTGATCTTCTCATCTTAATTTAAACCCTCAGACTGGTTGGCTCATACATAGAATTAGATGAAGTTAGTCTAGCTTGTGATATACACTGACCTTAATGAAAACTGGTCACTCTCTTCTCCAACTGACCATATCCTACAAGATTTTAAGTTGGAATGTTCAGACTGCAAAGTCAGCTGTCTGAAGGTAACAAATTTCAGACCTCTTAGGATACACTTTGCTGAGTTAGACCCCAATAAGAGAAAGAGGATTAACTGTGTGTGAGGAAAACGTAAAACTTATTTGATCAATGACCTAATTTTGTCTTTCTGGATTCTGTAAGTCAAAGTTTCAAAATTCAGCTTCAAAATAATTTCTAAATTTCTCAATATGTAAATGTTGAAAATCCTTATCTTGCCTCTTCTCTATCCTCATAATTCAGTTCGATGGAATGAATGCCCAAAGATGGTAACTAATAAATTCTTACAATGAACACAAACTTCTGTAGGGAAAGCAAGTCTAGTAATATCTGGGCTCTGTATTCAATAGCAAAAACCCAAATTCCAGGTATCAGAGATCTTTGTTTTGTTGGTTCCTTCAGTCCCACCTACAGACTTCTTAAGACTTTTAAATGGTAACATCTCATCCTATGTAGGATCTGAAAGAAATGTTTTCATTTTCTCAGACCTCACAAGATGCTATTTATAATAGCAAAAGATTACAACACTCTCTTTGATTTCTGGGTGAAATGTGTGAGATCCTTAACTAAGGAATTCTTCCCAAATGAAGTATTTAGGCTCCCTCTTGTAAAGAAAAAAATATGTCAACAATATACTCTTACATAACAAAGGTTTATTGTGTGTACACTTGTGTTTTCCCTAATGTTGGTATTATTTACAAGGTCTCTATTTTCTTTATTTGGACCTCAAGGGTACAAAACTGGGTTAGTCCTAATCCTTGGTTCATAACAGTGTCATTATGGTAAGCTTTTTGTTTAGATATTTAGTTATTTTTAATCTTGTAAAAAGTAAACTAAAAGCGAAGACCTTAACAACATTTCTAACCATATAGTCTCTATCTCCTTCATTCCATCTCTCTGCTTCCCTGACTCCCCAAAATTATCATACTCAACCATGTTCATCATTTCCTTTTCTTTTTATAGTTTGTTTCCTGCATTTACATGGAATCCTTAAATTTTTATTTTTTATTCTAATTGTTAAAGGATATTTTAGTTTTACAAAAAGCTTATCATGCAGAATAAGACCTTTGGGACTTATTTTTCCACAGTGTTACCTATCTTTGTGGTTTTTTCTGCTGTATATAACACTTTGGTGTTTTGCTTTTTAAAAATCTGTTCTCCTACTGATGGGCATTTGGGTTGTTCCTGAATTTTAGTTATTTCTGGGTTTTAGCTATTGTAAACAATGCTGCTATGAACATTTGTATACATGCCCCTTGTACATGTGTAAGAGATTCTCCTAGGTATATACCTAAGAGTGGAATTGCTGGGTTATAAGGTATGTGAATATTCAACCTAAAGAAACAATGCTAAACTGTAAGCTAAACTGGTTACAATGATTTCTGTTCCTTTAAGTAATATATAAAAAGATTCTCTTAATTTTTACCAATGGAATGGGTGTGAAAAGATCTCTCACTGTAGTTGTAGTCCTAATATACATTTCCCTAACTACTAATGATGTTGATGGTCTCTTCGTATATTATTTATAATGTGAGTGTCTGCTTCTGTAAAATACCTATTCATTTGTTTTGCCCACTGTTATACTGAGTTTTGGTGCTTTCCTCATTGATTTGTAGAGGACTTACTATATTCTTGACATAATCTTTTTCATTTGTGTGTATTGTGCAGTCTTCTAGTATACCATTTGTCTTTTTACTTATTTAAAGTATCTTGATTTTTTAAAATTCCTCAGTTTTAGAAGAGTCCAATTTATTAATATTTTTGTAACCAATGCTTTCTGTGTCTTAAGAAACTTTCTGCTACCCCCAGGATCTAAAGCTATTTACCTATACTTTCTACTAAGAGCTTTTAATTTTTTATTTCACCATTTAAGTGCTTAATCCATCTGAAAGTTATCTTTCTATGTACTAAGAAGTAAAGTTTCATTGGTGTTTTTTTTTTAAAGCCAAGAATATTAAAAATCAAGTTTTAATTGAATTACCTATAAGTAAAAATATTCTGCTTTTAAGGACAATTTAGGAACTTCTGGTTGGTCTGTAACTAATCTCCCATTGTAAAAAATTAGAAAACTGGATAAAATATAGGAAACAACCATTTTCAGAAGCTTGACAACAGGCAGCTAAGAACTACAATCCCTGAGAAAAGGAAAACAGAGAGGATGAGCCCTACTATAACCTAGGCTTTATGCCTAAAGGTAACACAGCAGCTCAGACAGGGGAACCCAAAAGGAGTTCAGTAACTTCACTGAATTGAGAGACAGAGACTGGAGTTTAGGAAGGCCAAAGCAGCTGGAATTTGTAGGACAAACTACACAAGAGCAGAGAGATAAGAGACACAGCTCTAGAAATCTACACAGGACCTCCTTGAATTTTGGCTGATCAACAACTCAAATACAAGGGCGAGCTGAAAAATTAACAATTTCTGAAGTTCAAAGAGGGTCTGGAATCATTTGACTTCCCTCCAGCCAGATTAGAGAAACCCCCCCTTGAATCTACAAGGCATTCAGAAGAGAACTCAAAATATCCAGGTTTTCGGAGCAGGGCTAAATCAGTTGTAAAGTAAAAGCTATTCTAAACTAACCCTAAAAGAGCTTAAAAACAAAACTTAAAAGGATCAGAGGCCTTTTATGCCAACGTGGACCTCTTGTGCTCATAAGAAACAACAAGGCAGGTGACTAGAGACAGTCTCCTGTGTCAGTCTAGGCACAAAGTGATTGGCAGTTGTTAGCAAATAGATGCAAGGCCCCACCCACTTCACCTAGTCCCTTCTTTTCTACTAAGCAAAGGCCTTAAGCCCTTGGGGATGGGCAGTAAACCCACTCATTCAGAAAACATGAACAAAGATCTACTGCTTCTGTGTAAAGAGTAAAAGCAAAAAACCCTCTACTCCTGGGGAGAGACAGGAAACAATCTTCAGGCCAGATTCCTATACTAAGTAGAGGTCTGCTACAGCTAGGGGAGGGACAGATTAATTAGAGATACAGGTAGAATTTAGCTGTGATAAGGAAGAAGGACAGAGAAATAAGAAAGCCTCACCCCCAAAACACAGGCACTAAGACTAAGGCTGGACCCAGTGGACTCAAAGACACTGAAAAGTGACTAGTGGTTACAATGGGGGAGGGATTGGGGTGGGTGGATAGGGAGGGTGAGGGGGATAAAGTGGCACAAAAATTCTCAATCATAATATAAGTTGGTCATGGGATTGTAATATAGCATGGAGAATACAGTCAATGACTCTGTAACATCTTCCTATGTTGTCAGATAGTAACCACACTAGTTGGGGGTGAGGATTTAATATGTGGGTAACTGCCGAACCACTGTGCTGTATACTTGAAACCAATATAAGATTGTGTATCAACTATACTTCCATTAAAAAATATAAGTTAAGGCTGGACCAG